TACATGCATAAGTTACAATTAAGTAATGCATAAGCTTTGAGGGTTGAATGAGTTTAGTAACTCGTAGAATCCACACATTTTTAAAGTGTCATAAGGGAGGGGATAATGTTCCTTTAGGTCTCGACAGTACCTAACGCATCCAACGTGTCGTTTTGTACCACTTTGTACACTTTTAGGGTGGAAAGAGTTCATCCCTCCTAACCCATATGCCATATAGGCGTCACATCAACATTTATCTCCTCTCGCTTCCACCTATCACACCCCTAAACACTTGGACATCCCTCCCACTTTCCTAAACCACATGTCATATAGGTGATACATCATCATTTCTCTCTCTTCTCACTTTCAACCCTCCCACCCGTAAACACTTGGAAATATACCCCTTTTAACCTACACACACTATGGTACAGTCATACAAGCATAAGTTACAACTAAGTAATGTATAAGTTTTGAGGGTTGAATGGGTTTAGTTACCCGCACAACCCATACATTTTTGTGGTACCATAAGGGAGTGGATTGTGTTCTTTTAGGTCTCGGCGATACCTAAGGCATCCAACATGTCTTTATGCACCACTATGTGTACTTTTAGGGTGAAGAGAGTCCATCCATCCTATTCTACATGCCATATATGCATCACATCAATATTTATCTCATATCACTTCCACCTATCCCACCCCTAAACACTTGGAAATCCATACCTTTTAACCCACACACTTTGATACAATCATACAAGCATAAGTTACAACTTAGCATACATAAGCTTTGAGGGTTAGACAGGTTTAATAAACTGCAAAATCCACACATTTTTGCGGTACCACTCTATGTACTAAACCAAACTAAAGCCTCTTCCCTTAAACAGATTCGCCGTCTGTTCGCAGGGTACAACAACCTTAGCAGTATTTGTGTACTACCGGATATTACAACTTGCCTGAAAGAATCGCCGGAAGCAGGAGTACAGAGAAGGAGGAAGAAGAAGAGTATTTTCATTCGTGTGTTTGAATGAGACGGCAATGTCTTCTTTTATAGTTGAATTGTGTAATGGAAACAAATCACTAATTTATTGAGCGTTTAATTCCATTAATTACGCAATTAATGCATCCGTTACAAAATTCAAAAATAGCAAAAACGAGGGTAGCGCGCGCTCGAGTTTTCGAAGCTGCATTCATGTCCATGCACGAGTTCGGTGTTTTTGGTCTACGGAATCCAAGATTTGCACCCCCCTGCGCGCGGGTAGGAATTGTAGCATAACCATAGACACAAGCTTGTAAGCCTTTCATGCATTCAAGCTTATAAACCTTATTTGGTTTTGGTCTTTCTACCTGTAACGATCGTCTTTCGAGGTATTAATTAATTAATTATTCTTAAGTGAATAGTTGGGCTATGTTTGAAATTGACATCTTGGTTTGGACCTTTAGACTTTTGGGCCGAGTTGTAGGCTGCCCATAAGCCGTACGCGGGGCGTAACCCGTTGTACGCGGGGCGTAGTGGCATTGGATGTGCGGGTTGTGGAGGCGTACGCGCAGCGTACCATAAGGTACGCCCAGCGTACGCGGTCAGACACTAAACCCTAATTCCGGGGTTTCAGAGCTATATAAACCCCATTATAGCCTCCCTCCCTGGTTTCTCATCAGCCTCCTCACCCACAAGAAAACCCTAACTCGTTCTTACCCTCTCTTTGTGTGATTTTGCTCTTTGTGAGAGTTTTTAGTGAGAAAGAAGTGGTAAAGAAGGAAAGCAAAAGTTGGAGAAGGAGCTTGAGCTCAGAGATCTGGTCTAGACTCATTCTTTGTCAGCAAAGGAAGGTATAAAGTTCTGAACTTTCTTCCTCTTTCCTTCTAGATCTAGGTTATGGAAGTTTGGACCTTTTTAGGTACAAAGGTTGAGTCTTGATCTTGTAAGTCGGTTGTGGAGCTTGGATTGCCATCCTTAAGGCTCAGAAACATCTTCCTAGCAATAAAGTTTCAACCTTTGTGGCTTATATGGAACCATGCATGAGATCTAGCTAAGTCCATGGAAGTAGAATGTTATTTATGGAAGTTTGAGCCTTTATGAGACTTGTAAGCCATCAAGTAAGCAACTTTGTGGCTTAAGACGTGGAACAAGCTTAGGATCTGGATTTGTAGCTTCTGGATCGGATTATTAAGCACTTAATGGGATTTTTGGCTTAACAGGGCTGTACGTTGGGCGTACAAGGAGGTACGCGTCGCGTACAAGCCAGCAGCCAGTACGCTCAGCGTACCTTGGTGTACGCCCTGCGTACGCTGCCAGTTTGGACTTCGAGTGTTTGGGCCTCGGTGTGGGCTAAGTTTTAGACTTAGGGTCTTTGGGCCTTAGTGGCCATCAGAATTCAGTTGCTTTGGGTCCAAGGATTAGTATTGGGCTTGATTAAGGCCCAATAAAAGGTTTTGGGCCCAATATAGAAAATTGGGCCTTTAGTGGGCCTATAGTGGGGCCATTAATGGACTTAGAAGGAATTGAGGGTTTGGGTCATATTGTGACCCATGCCATAGCAGGGGTAAAAGGGTCATTTTACCCATAGGAGGATCCCTATTATGATTTAGTGTTTTATTTCCCTTGATAGTCGGGAAGCAGCCGGAGCAGCAGTTAGGGATTTCTCATTCAGGAGTTCAGCAGTCAGCATCACGAGGTGAGTTTCCTTCCAGTAGGAACGGGTCTACGGCCACAATGTCGGCCCGTTTAGTTAGCAGTAGTACCGGACTTCGGTCCGATGCAGTAGCTAGTATGTTTGATGCCTTCGTGGCTCAGACAGGATTTATGTGTTATGTGTTCCGGGCTACGGCCCGATGCAGTATGCAGTATATGTTTTTATGCCACTAGTTGTGATTATGTTATGCTATGTTCAGTCAGTTCCGGACTTCGGTCCGATGTAGTTTCCGGACTTCGGTCCGATGCAGAGGGCAAGGCCCTGGTTAGTTCCGGACTTCGGTCCGATGCAGTTTCCGGACTTCGGTCCGATGCAGTGGGCAAGGCCCAGTAGTTGCGTATATGTTATTGTATGATATGTGGTAGTTTGGGGGAGCTCACTAAGCTTTGTGCTTACAGTTTCAGTTTTGGTTTCAGGTACTTCCGCAAGTAAAGGGAAGAGCTCGGGATGATGGCATCGCACACACCACAGCTTCCGTTTAGTCCTGGGAGTTTGATCAGTTTATTTAGATATGAGATGATACAGTTTTATTATGATATTTTACTATGGTTTGAGATATTTGACGTACGGTTGCTATGATATGATATTCAGTGCATGATTTTATTAGTAATTAAATGAAAATTTTTGGGTCGTATTTTTGGGCTGTTTCACTACCAATGTGGGAATCATTCCCACATTCCTCTCTTTTTGCTAAATTTATTCTCAAATACCCATCTTTGAGTATCGATATCTCATTCACATATACTCTATTTTGGACATATAATATATTGTTTTGAAGTCCTCGTGGAAGAGAACACAAACCCGCTTAGAGTTAGTTATATATACAACATATGTATATATTTATATATGTCCAAAGTTAGTAAAAATATAAATATTTATACTAAATTTTCCAACAATCCCCCACATGAATGGAGATCGATCTCTGCACATCCAATTTCCAAACGAAATTTTCAACAGTTGAATCCTGCATAGGATAGGTAGGTATTACCCTTTGAACCCTCCCTTAAAAAGTTACACTTAATCTCCTAGCAGTTAGTAGATCTCGATGTCTTTGAACTAAGCCGCCATTTATGTAGACGACAATGTAAATCTCACAGGATTCTCGCTGACAAGGTCATATCCTCATAGACGTGTTCGTTTTGGTCATGAACACTAGCCTGGTTCTGTAAGAGCTTTAGGAATTGTGCCCCTATAATTCCCCTCGAAGCGACCCCACTTCTCTCTCACATAGGTGATTCCAAGAATCATTAAAAACCATATGTTTAGCCTAATTTTGTCACTACATATAGGAATGGACTAGGAAGCAATGTTAACTCCCCCACAGTGACATGCCTCACTCATACAGTTAGGTTATCCTTTTGAACCCAAATCTTTGTAGAGATCGATTGATTGTAGAATGAGGGTAGTGCTTGTAAATTGTCCAAATAAAAAAATAAAGGCAAAGCAATTTTTGCTATTATAATTGGATACTTTTTCAAAGACTTTGATATCTATGCTCTTATTCTTTGTCATATGTTGGAACATGTTTATAATAGATAAAATAATTTTTTTTTGTCTAATTTAAAACGTTAATCTTTTTTTTATTTAGGGTGGATTGAGTGGAAATGAAAGTGGTATGGTGAAATTGGAAGTTTGGAACAGTCATTGAAAAATCTTGTCCAAAAGGGCTTTATCGTACATTATGTAATGTATATTAATTTAATGCCTTGAAATGTTCTTTTCAAATTTTATTTTGTTCTAAGAAATCAGCAATGTATCTAGTTGAAAATGTTTGAGGTTCTGCATAATGTACTACCTATTTCATGATGTCTCAAGAGATGAACTTTTGAGGTCAAATTTTATAACGCATTCCCTTCTTGAACAAAATGAATTTATATTATCAATGGCTTTCGATCCTTGCACAACTTTCTTCTCTTTTATATTCTTTTATGTCTATTATAACAATGTACTTTCATTCTTTTTCTTATTAAGGTACATACTTTAGAAAATCTTCCAAATTTGAGCATTATACTTCCCAACTCATTTTTATCAACACATTGTACTTTGGAATATCTACCCAATTTGAGCTTTGTACTTTCAATCTTTTTTTCGTCTGGAAATTTGTATAAAATGTTTAAAAATATCATTTTGATATCCCAAATCACATTGAACCCTATATATTATCTCCAAACTGAAATCTCTCAAGGATAATTGAAAATTTGAGGATGCAAATTTCTAAATATCGAAGTATCTAAGAATCAATTAAAGCTGAAAAGAATTAACAAGGAAAAACAAGAAAAAAAGGGTAAAAGTTCCCATTTCGATGATACTCACAGACTCCATTCGAATTTAGAATTTAGAAGACATGGATAAAATCAGAGCACTTGGATTTGATCCAGCGAATGCCGTTCCTGAAAGAAGCCTTCACCCTGCCTTCAATCGTATACACTTTGTAGTGGGCGATCCTCTTCCTCCTCTTGCTCTCCGGATCAGTCAACCCTCCCCACGGCTTCGACGACGACGTTGACGTTCTCGCCGGTGACCTAATAATACCTCCGCCGCCGTAAATCTGGTTTCCCTTCCCACTTACAATCTCCATCCTCCTGTCACTCTGGTACTGGAAGTTACTTGGCCTGTTGTAGCTTCCTTCCATTATCAATCAATCAATCAAGATTTCCAATCGGAGGAAGCACCAGTCTTCCGTTGGTCTCTGGGATTTCTTCCTTCGTTTTATAAAGAAAGATATTCCGGGATTGTACTCGATGTTATTGTTTTTACTCTCTTTTTTCTTTTTTAATTGCTTCCTGTTCATTAATCGATGCAAAATTCACCCGACGATCCTTAAATTAATGGTATCATGTCAGAAGAATAACATCGGATTCCCGTTTATCCTGGCCACCTTCATCACTACTCACCGTGACTACCGAGTACTGGCACAAGTCATTTTCATTTGGCGTCTTCTAATAAAAATCTTTCGTAAAAATATTATAGTAGAACTCCAAAACATTACGTATAATCAATAAATATACATAATTAGTTATAAATATGTCATTAGAATACATATATAATATTATAAAATCTATCATTAAAAACTTTCATCATAAAATTCAAACAAACAACCACAATCTCATGCAATAATTATACTATCACGTGTTCGTTCGGATTGATTGGTTTCATCTCATATAATTAAGTAAATCTAAATAGATTTCAGTTTTCAAAACATGGATCTGAATAGTCCAAACTAAATTTAAATCTGATCTGATTAAACCAAATTAAAATTCGGTTAGATCGGTTTTTACAATTCGTTTTTTAAGAGATGAAGCATTTTAAAATATATATAATTTAAATATTAACCAACATAAACTAAAATATATATTTAGTTATGAATTATAATTTAAAAATAACTACCAAAAAAATTTAAAAAAAATATATTATAGTTAATATTTCATTGAAAAAAACCTTTTGATAAGAAGTATATATTAATGTATTATATTGGATGAAAGTTTCTAATAATTAAAAAATTAATTTAGTAAAATGATAAATTATTAAAGAGATATATAAAAATAAATAATAAGTTGTTATTCGGTTTTTTTGGACTATTTAGTTCTTATTTTTTAAATCAAAACCAATTTAAAATAATAATTCGGTTTTGCTTGAAACCAATCTAAAAATCCAAATATTCAAACCAAATAGTCTAATTCAAATTGTCCAATTGGATAATTCGATTTTATCTAAATAATAAACAACCCTGGTATGAAGATACTAATTTAACTAGCATTATATATTGACAGTCCTAATATTATCAAGTTTGCTTTTATTAAATGTCATAATAATGAAAGTAATAGTATCAAGTTTGTTTTTAGTTATTTATCCTTTTATGATACTCACTAGGTAAATAAACGTTTTTACTTCTCGTTACAAGAATGAATTCCGACCGGATAATTTTGTTATATTAGATGTCACTATAATAAACTATGTCAGCAGACAACATCATATATACTTAAGTGAACGAATCATGTTATATTGGATGTCATATTCAATGTGATCAATGACACTAAACCTGATATCACAAGTTTCAAAGACCTCACTTAGTGTGTCATAGTTCAAGCAGTTGAGATCAAGGACTAACAAAATCTCATATTGTTTCTCGATGGAGTTATGTGCTTGGAGGAGTTAGCATCAATGGTCATGGTGGCTAATAAAGATATAGAGGCATCAATATAGAGGTGGAGGCCACATGAGTTAGAGGGAATATAAAAGGAAATAGGGCTAGGGTTCTAGCTTTCATACCACAAACAATATAATTTTACTATGAATCTTTCATTGCACTAATTCACACTGAATATACAAAAATACAATGTACCAAATGGTAATGAAACCTAGACCCAAAGTGGGTCGGATAGTTCCTATACATTCGTATAATACACTATAAACTAACACCAAACATCTCCAATCATTATTTTTAGGAAAAATTGAAACAATCTAGATGACTATTGTTTCAGTCTCATTTTATTTCAGTCTTTTATTTTATTTTTTTGTCCACATGGTCCTTAAACTTTTTTTTTGTACCGATGTGGTCTTTTTTACATGCTATAGCCGATGAAACCGGCTATATATAATTTTTTAAATAGTAAAATTCATACCGGCTATATATAATTTTCTAAATAGTAAATTTCATAAATGGTCCTATGGTTATTTCAAAATTGCAATCCTAGATCATACAATTTGTTGTGACAATTGAACCCTTATGTAAAATGGGCCACACACCGCCCCACATCCTTCTTTTTCTCCCCCCCCCCCCCCTCCAGGCCTCCAACCTTCTTTTACAAGCCTAGAGCCTTTGTGAGAATTATTTGGGATCATGATGAAAGAAGCGAGAAGGAGACGAGTTGTTTTTTATGTGTGTACGTCACAAGGAGAAAACAATTGGATGATGTATGGTGTTTTGGTGATCATTTGATTGTGTCAAGAAGAGAACCCGAAGGAAGAGTGTTGACAAGTTATAATTGTTTACATTACTTCTAATCTTATACTTGTTATTTGTTAACAACCATGGCAAAATCAAAAGAGTTAGTGCAAAAAAGCTGCAATTAACAATCAAAATATCGATGTCTAAAGGTTAATCAAACAAAAGAGTTCATGGCCGAGAAAATGACCAACTTGACTAGATCTCTAACATTTATTATCATATACAGGGCTTGGTGATAGATATTTTAATGGATGTGGTAAACATGTTTCTTCACCTAAACAAGATGTATCAAAGATCTTAACTTCGAACGCAAGGCACTTGGGCTGTGAGGCCAATATGATGTGTCGGCAAAACAATCCTACGAGTATCTCATCAATCATGTCCCATTGCTTCTCCTCATAACCATAATTTTTGTTGTCTTTAATCAAGCATTCAAACAAGACATGTGTTTTTGCTTTCTCTTTGTAACCATATCCATTCTTGTATTCTACTTGTTGAATAAGCCTCCAACCATCCACCTCATCAACTCCAAGTGTTTGGAACCACCATCAATACTTCATGTGACATGGGATCGTTTTGCAACCATTGTGAATAAGATAAAATAGAGGTCTTGGGGGCCACATTTAACAAAAATAAACGTTAAATAAAGACATTTTAGTCCATTTATATAGTTAAAAAAACTTAGACAAGCAAAAGAAACATATAAAGAGAGAGACTGTAACGACCCAAAAATCAAGGGTAAAAATTTCATTTTTAGTATAGCTAAAACATTGATACCATTTATTTCAAACATTTCAAATCATCATTAAGTAAAATATTTATCAGAGTTCATCCCAAAATCATTCCTTGCGGAAATCATAGGTGTGTACACTGCGATCAATCCGGACCCTTCTTTTTCCAAATCGATGATACCTGAAACCAAAACTGTAAACCGTAAGCACAAAGCTTAGTGAGTTCCCCAGAGCATACCCCACACAATCCACATAACCACATAATCCACATCTGCTGTAACAACTACATAAACCATATCAATCACATAACCATGCATATAAACATATACAGATGTCGTGGGCTCCCCCCAGGGTCTTACTCCAGGATGTCATGGGATCCCAACATGGTCTTACACCTAAGTACCATGGGATCCCCATGGTCTTCAATAGGAAATCCATGGGCTCTCCACATGGTCTTACATCCAAGTGTCATGGGCTCCCCCATGGTCTTTAATAGGAAAGCCATGGGCTCTCCACATGGTCTTACATCCGGGTGCCATGGGCTCCCCCTAAGGTCTTCCATGCAAGTATCACAAAGACAACTAGCATACCACATACCACATAGTCAATAGCATACCACATAATCACTAGCATACCACATAATCACTAGCATACCACATATACATGCATACTAGACATATCAGTAGTGAATCTACAATAAGCACTACAACTAACTGAATGGGTCGGCCTTGGTGCCTTAGACCCATTGGTATGGTAAGGAGACTCACCTGACACTGCTGAAGTCCCACGGATAAAACTCTAGCTGCTGGTTGACAGGTTCCCGAACTGTCAATCATCAAAACGACACCCAATTAATGATTGGGTTCCAATACATAACCATAAATCCACACTTGGGGTAAATGGGCCATTTTACCCCTAACCTAGCTTGGTTCAAAACCAAGGCCCAACATATGGCCCAATTTTTCCAAATTGGGCCCAAACCGTTACATGGTTTTATTCTAAGGCCCAACTACTTAGTCAAGTCCAAACATGTGGCATTTCTAATGGCCCAATATCTCATAATCATAAAGGCCCAATTATGGCCCAATTTTCCAAATTGGGCCTGAACCTCACATATGGGCCTCACCCTAAAGCCCATCCAAACGTTCTAGTCCATATGATTATTCTTGGATGGCCCACCAATAACCCAGTCATCAAGGCCCAATAAAAAGGCCCAACTCAAGGCCCAAGTGAAATTAGGGTTTTCACATAAAATGACGATTAGGGTTAAGTGTTTCTTACTTAACCCATTAAGGACTTAATCCATTAAGTCCATCAATCTATTGGGTAAATCATATAGTGTGATTAGGTGTAATTCACAATTCCATTCCAAATGGCCCAAAATGCGGGTCCCGATAAGTCCAAACTAATATATCCAAAATTAGGGTTTTCTAAACCCTAATTAGGGTTTCCAACCCAATCATAGCCTAATAGGCCCAAAACTAAATCTTTAGATCAATTAGGGCTTTAATAGGCCCACTAGGGTTTCATTAGGCCTATTAGGGTTTCGCTAGTCGGGCACCACCCACTACCACCTCGGGTAGTGGTGGTCAACGGCGGCTCACGGCGGCGGCCACCACCTCACGGCGGTGGTTAGGGTTTCTAGTCCATTTTTGTCCAAGCATCCAAAAAGAAACTACACGTAAGCAAAAGCACACCGCCACCCAACACGACGGTTGGTGGCTGCAGGAGGCGGCAGCCACCACCTCACGGTGGTGGTTATGAGTTTCTTTTTATTATTCTAGTCACGGTTACATTTTTACAATGAAATTCCCAAATAACACACACACACACACACTCTAAGATAAACACGCACACAGCTACCCTAGTGGTGGTACATGGTGGCAGCCTCCACCTCACGGTGGTGGTGGTGGCCTTTTCTTGGTTTTCCGGCTAGACAAAACATACACAATC